ACTAGTCTCTCACCTGTGAAGGCCTCCTTCCCTTTACCTCCGTACAGATAAAACGTTGACGGGATAATTCCGGTTCGCGTGGCTACGCGGAAGCAATAAAAATTCTGTATTATACTTTTTTTTTACCTTGGAACCTATTTCATGGTTTGCGTTCTCGAGCCACCAGGTACTGTTTTGTGCAAATGAGCGGCCGAATCGCATTAAGGGTTTTCTGTTAGAACGGTGTCGTGTTAGAGGCCCCCAAGTTAATAACTAATGATCGTTGCGACGGAAGTGAATCAATCAAAAACTAACTTTAGCTGGAAAATAACTTTATTATAGAGCTGCTGTAAAGCCAAAACAATCTCTGTTACTTTAATTTCCTATTATCACTGTAAAGCTGCTTTGAAACAATCTATATTGTTAAAAGCGCTATATAAATTAAGGTGACTTGACTATTTCTCATTTTGTGTGTCTAACGCATCAGACATTCAGCCAGCAGTCCGTGGCCGTGACGTCTGAGGCTGAGACTAGGATGATTATAATTTCCTTTACTTGAAACTCATGATAGGAGGAAACATAATATGAAAAAAGACATATCTAGCTTTAATTTCTTTATACACATTTTTTTTTTTTTAGATATGGAGTGAAGTAAGAAAAAAATATGTAAATTAATGGTTGGTTGAATGACATACTCATACACTCTCATATAAAAAAAATCTATCACCATCAGAGAATTATCCTGCTATCTGGTAAAGCTCCTTTTTTATAGGGTCTCTCTGACAAAACATCTAAGGGAAATGTGGGAGCTGTACAAGGCTACAGCTGGCATCCATAATAACATCAGCTAAGCAGGCAAAAAAAAAACTACAATATGAGAGAACAAAGACACAGGGAGAGAAGATTGGGAGTGTTGTGCTAGTGTTAGCAAACAGGGTTTCACAGCTTCACAGAGACACTAGGGGGAAACGAACACAATCTGATGATGTCACCGCACCGACTAAACATGCATGATTGGCTCCTCAGACAGGCAAAACCCCTCTATAGGCAAACATTACAATGAGCTTAAAGGAAACAGAGTCCAACAGCATGCACACAGGAAATGGATAGCAGTCCACCGAACCACACGGAAACAATCTAGGCTTAAGATATATTTCTATCTATTCATCTTGCTTTAATCTTTTCACAGGAGGTGGTGTAAAAACAGTGCACTGCAAAATCTGCATCTGCATGGGGGCTCATGTCCTTGTCAGTGTGACGATGTGTAAAATGAGGTCCACATTGCGAACAAAGATAAAGAATGTGCCTCTCATGTCTTTTCCACTTGTTTCATCATGCACAGACTGATTTTTTTTTACATGCATCCTAAATAAAGATAAAGAGCCACATAATTTTATATCATATAAAAGCACAATATTGCATAGATTTTCATCAAAATATTTGACAGCACATATCTATTGTCTTTACTTGAGAACATGATTCAAAGATATTACCTAAAATTCACTCTACAGAAACAGAATCTGGTACACTGGCCAAAATAGCGCTGAAGGTTAATAGACTGCAGGTTAAATTATCTATTAAGTGGAGCTGGTTTAAATATATTGCTACAAGATGTATATAATGGCTCTTTAAAAAAATAGATTATAGTAACAAGCCTTTGTTTTATCCTAATCTAATCACAGAAATCCTGCTTTGAGGATAAACTGGGCAAACAGTCAGGCTGTCAGAACAGAAAAAAACACAAAGATCCTTAACAAAAAGGAAGGGAATCAATATCAGTGTATCAATATCATATGACTCTTAAAAAACAAATACTTGGCAAACATCAGTCACCATATGAAGTGGTAAACATACCCATAGCCCGAAAGAGGATAGTGGCCAATGAGGTACAATTTTCCACAGACACAAAGCAGTGTACATTACCAAAATAATGCAGTGTTGTTCATTGCTGGGTCAAAGAGGATGGACTAAACTTTAAGGATAAACTTCCCACTGGGCCTGGGCATTAACACAGACATAGGCTACTGTCTGTTTGACAGCTGTCAAATGGAACACACAACATGTAAGAAAAATGAACAGCTATAGACTAAACAAAAGTGACCTTCAGTGGTAAAGTTTTAGACAACAGGCCCACAGACACACAACATTATAATCAGAATTAGGTGCATTATAACAGCATTTGTGCCTAAACTAAAAATAACCAGGGTACATGTTGGTAACATTTCAGTAATCTGTCAGACAACTGACAACACAATACAGCCTTTTTACAAACCTAATAATTCACATAGATGCAACAACAAAAGAGCTCATTGTTATTAAGACATAGAATATCACTGTTTTAAACTGATTTTTAAATGTCAATTTAAATCACAAGTCAGGGTAGCTACTTTATTGTGAATTAAAAATCATACTAGCAAGTTTACACAAGCAAAAGTATTTGTAATGCACACTTGTGTTTAGTAAATGCATGTGTCTATTCAATAAGCATTAGGGAAAAAAGTATACTAGCAACTATATTGTTACAACTAAACTAACTAAAGAATAAGCAATAATAGTACATAACAAATTGTTACTAGTAAATTACACCAGCAACAATTACAGTTTATACAGCTCAATGGCATGCAGTGGTGTTCTCAAATGAGGAGGCAAAGTCCTGACGCTTTTTTTTAATAAACCAAATGTAAATTTGTGTCCAAGTTAATCTTAATGTTGACACATTTTCCTGATTGAATAAACAATACATCAAAGGAAAAAGAAAAAACAAATACAATTCTATTTTGTATTCATTAACTATACAATATAATGAATGTTATTTTTATTAAAACCAATTTTTACGTTTATTCTAAAATAATAACTAACTCCAGTAACAATATTTTATTAGTGAACTGATGTTCCACTGGTCTTTTTAAGTCAACTTATTTTTATCAGTCATCAAGGTTGGTAAACACTGCCACAGACATGATGTACCTTTAATTTCACCAAGCTGATTGCTCACTAAAAAAAATGAATCATGTTTTCAGGCCATTTCAAGTTTGATTTTGACATGACATAAAGTGGTGATATCTAAGTGGCCGAGTTATTTACTTACTTTTTAATCAGTCTTCCGATTAACGCCATCATTTTGTTCATTCAGATCGATTTGTGAACGCGCACGAAAACAAGAGGCAGGATTTATCGCACGAGCCAATCATATCCAACCATGACCAATAATATCTAATGATAGCGCAAATGCGCGATGGAGGCATTGCCTCCTCTCACGAGACTTTCCCCCGTTCATTCTCAATTACCCCTCACAAAACCCACTGTATGCTTTGGGGGGTCTGTTAAAAGTCAATGGGCTCAGGGGAGGAATTGCCTCCCACTGTAACTTTGCTTTCCGGTTTCGCTGTTGAACACTGTTACTTTAGAAAAACGTGATTTATAAACTTTTTAATGTCACATTTTGTAATATTTGTTGCATTGTTTTATTTTTGTAATATGGGTTATTTTCTCTTCCAATTTTTTGAGGAGGCACTGCCTCCCTTGCCTCCTCGGAGGAAACGCCTCTGACGACTAAAAGGCACTGTTGTTGTGCGAATGAGCGGGCTGGAGAGCGTTAAGGGTTTTTTGTTAGAACGGTGTCATGTATAAGCGGCCCCTAAGTTAATAACTAATGATCTTTGCAACGGAAGTGAATCAATCAAAACTAACTTTAGCTGGACAATAACTTTATTCTAGAGCTGCTGTAAAGCCAAAACAATCTCTGTTACTTTAATTTCCTATTATCACTGTAAAGCTGCTTTGAAACAATCTATATTGTTAAAAGTGCTATATAAATGAAGGTGACTTGACTTGACACAACTCCAGTTTGAAATGAAGAGGGCTAGCTGATATGTAAACTACAGATTCCCATAGAATTCAATGGTAAAAATGTGCAAAAAACAGCAACAATGCAAGTTACTTGGCACTATTGGGACAGTGACTAAAGGCAAAGGAGAACTAATAAATAATAAGTTCAAGGGACTAACTGAATAGATAATAGTCACTACTGGAATGACAACTAGTTTATTGTATGTCTAATGTCTAACTAGTGAAATTGAGAGCAGTTACTGTAGGATTATTCAGCAGTAATCAAATGATAGGTTCTACAAAAATAGATACTACTTGGCCTGAAACAAAGAATATTTTAAATAAGCATGCCAAAACCATTGAAAGCCTATAGATTGCGCTCTAAATAGACTGGTAGTTGTCAAATTAGACTGCTTTATATTATACATTTACTAGAAGCATGTAAACAAAAAAGTACATCTGCACTGGGTAAATTCACAGTCCCCCCTGAGGCGACTGGGTCATTCGAAAAGCCACAACAGTTTAAACAGCTAGTGTTGTGGAATTCGAATTCATTATTATGGCGAATTCGAACGATTCGAATAAATTCGATATTGTTCGTCAATACAAATGCGCACATGTTCGTGCGTCAAATATATCAGATAAGCACAACAACAAAATAAAAAAGCATTTTCAGCTGTTTGTTTCGTTGTGAACGCGCCGCGCGTCCTTATATAAATCACCCGCTAGCGGATAACAAATGCACTTATACAATGCGGAGTAAACTAAACAAGCATTTGCAATTCATTGCAATGGTGTAGCTGCTTAGCTGCCCTTATTGCCCTGCCGTGGTTAGCTAGCCCCAGCATCGACTAATTCACCGAAAGGGAGTTTAAACCAGCTTGGCAAACCAATAACACTTGATGTTGTTGACATGGCAATAGGTAAAAGGTAACTTAGGTGTCCAAAAAGCTAGACTCTCCAGTCGTGCTTATGCCCCAAGCTACTCTCGCTAGCCGAATTCTGACATGACGGTTTGCTAAATGTCAACCCATTTGGACATTCCTCTTTCCTACTATGCAACAAAGCAGAGGGGGACGGAAAAACACAGCTCAAACTAGATCGGGGAGATTGCATATACTCGAGTGCAGCGAACCAGACGGGATTGTCAAGGCCTATGGGTTGACAGTTCAGCATGTGTCACATCTGTATACCTTTGTAATGCACCCGCAGATTATTCTGTGAGAGCCCGATGTAGCTGTACTTATCCTTGGGGCTCCAAGATCGGGGTAAGGGGGTCTCTTCCTCATTCACGGCCGGGTACAGTCGCTTCAAACGCTCGCTTAGCTCATGCTCTTGATAATTAAAAGCAGGATCTCCTGTTGTTAGCAGGCTCCCCACTCCAAGCTCTGCCATTTTTGCTTATGTTTTTGTATTCCTTCTAGTAATCCTACCCTGTTGTGCCAATCCGCTAAAAAGGAGACAGCGCTAGACTAAGGAGAAACACACACACAGCAGCGGGGAGAGAGAGATGTCCCCGGATAACAGCCGCTCGCTCGACAGTGACGTGTGGGTACTGTAGTCGAACACAAAGCCTGCGCAGTGCACGCGGCTGACATGAGGGAAGTGCCGTCAACTACATGACCCATACCTAATTCAACTGGGGCTGTAAAACGCAGGCTAGGATTTGTAGTTTTTATGTATATGGCTACTTGATTTTTAGGAAAGTAAACAATTTCGAAATTAGACAATCTCGAATCAGTGACTCGGTGGTTTGTCATTTATTCAAATGTGTGGTGATAAATTCATTCCACTACTAGACTCAGGCATATAATTCTGTCACTCTCAGCTATTTATGTAACAGACTTCATGTAATCCTTATCCCAAACTCTTGGTCTGTGAAGCAGTAGTTTTACCCTATTGATTTAAAGTGTAATGATTGTTTTCTGTGTTAGGGTCCATAACATGGCGTGCATATTTTTGTGTCCAAGTACATTATTTTCTTTAAAAATAATTTGATAAATTCATGACACGTTGTTCTTTAAAACCAATTTAGTTTGAATTCATTTTTAGTACATTTAAATAATGCATATTATTGTATGTTTTTTATCTTAAAGTTACCCCCAAAATGTCAAGGTGGTGAAACTGTCTGAACAGAACAGACTAAGACAACTATTTAAAATGGTGTCTTAATAATACAAAGTTAAAAACTAAATACTATGGCATCATTTTAGGTTTTAATCCTTTCATATAAACAAGTTTTATAAATATCAGTAGTTTTAAAGATGTTGAGATTATTGAAAAACTTTTGTCCAAGAATTTGTATATTCTCAAATGTATGTCAGAGTGGCACAACTGCAAACATGGCTATTTTATTATGATTTGACAAGGTAATAACAGTAAACATGATAATGCATCATCCAGAGGAGCCCAACTGATCCTTGTGGCAGATTGAAAAGGTTTGTAGATCTCTCTCAAATACTGGTAAACACTGCTCATTTCAAGAATGGGTAGGTTGGTACATTTTCCCTGTCAGGTGGTACAACTACAGTATCCATATTTGGCCTACTGCCTGACATAAAAACAGTAAAAAAAAAAAAAGAATTTAAACACTTTGAAATATTATTTAATAACTGAAACTCGTTTAAACATTGTTCATGACTCAAACATATGCATTACATTAGTTTTTAGTTTTAAAGAATTATATTATTATATCATATGTTTTAAAGAATAATGTTTGTTTGTTTTTCATTGAAAATGCACATTTTATGACATGTTCAGTAATGTTTACAGTTAAAAGCACGTTCGTTATATTCAAAAGCAAGGTCACTTCTAACCCTACGGTCACTGATCAAGACATTTTGTTCAACAAGTTGAGTAAAACACAGACGCTTGTCTTAGAAAAACAAGACACTCGGTGGTGTAATCCAGTAGCCCTAGCGTTAACTGCCAAGAGGGAAAAAGACAACTGCTAAATCATAACAGAGCATTCTAACATTTAAAATATTTAACAAAAAACGTGCTCTATTTGAACATATACACGTGAATTTAATGCAACCCATATGATGTTTTAGACGACAAGGCGAGTTGTTTTTCATAAAGGCATGCCGTGAACAGCTATACATGGAAGGTCTTTTCAAGGGTCCTGCGGTATCATGGCAACCAACTGTCAAACAACAACAAATGCCACGCCGCTGAAGTTTCAGTTGGATGTACGCTGATAAATCTGCTGTGGAATATTATAAAGCTATTTATTCGTCCAAATGTCACTGAAAGAACTACATTTGCCACCGTTGTTACACTTCGAAAGGCAAGATATAAGGAGATTTTAGAATCGTTAATGTTGCTTAGTTCACTGAACTAGAAATGATTGCCTACAATCCAAACAAGTCAGTAGTTAAGTGGAAAAAGCTATTAAATCAGTAAATGGCCAATAACATGTTTGTACATTAAGTTATTTGTTTAAAATACATATATACGTTTGAAGGAAGTTGTATATGTTAATGATTACCATTTTCCAACTTTATTCTCTATTTTATCACCTTTTATTAATTTATGAAGTTTAGTTAATAGTCCAGCAATGTGACAAATGTTCATATATTTAATGTAATATCTCAATTGTGGCTTAAAAATCATTTGGATGAAGTATCTCCCGTCACTGCTTGACATATCGACTAGTTGAAACTAGTGTCTGTCTTCTGATCTATGTAACGTTAATGTCTCACTTTCCGTGATGATGACAGCAATAGCAGAGGATCACAGAGGCACATTACTGGCAGGATGTCTAGGACAAAGTTTATAAAAGTAAGTTATAAACCTGCTGGTTTAATTTTTTAACTAGTGCTGTCAAATCGATTAAAGGTGCATTGTGTAATATTTAGGAGGATCTGATAACAGAATTGCAATATCGTATACATAACTATGTTTTCAGTGGAGTATAACGTTAAAGACCTTACTTAATTTACCGTTATGTTTTTATTACCTTAGAATGAGTCATTTCTATCAACACACACCGCGGGTCCCCTTACTTTGAAATGGGCCGACATGTTTCTACAGGAGCCCTAAACGGACAAATGCATACGCATAGTGAAGATAAAGTCACTATGTTGTTCTTCGTGCAAAGAAGCTAGCTAAAGTCTGCGAATAAAACACTGACACAATGATGAACAAATAACAATAATATTCGCAATAACATTTCGTTTTACTGAATAATTAAGTAAACCTAATTAATTTCTTAATTTATCTTTGTAAAGAAACCTCATTGTTTAACTGGCTACTCTCTGCTGTCTCAGACGATGATATATTTTCCTGTCGGCCACCGTAACTTCTGTTGGTTGCAATTCGCAACCTCACCACTAGACTTTAATTGCGATTAATTGCATCTTAACAAGTTTATATAAATATATATTATATATTTATGTATATATTTTTATGTTAGATGCGATTAATCGATTTGACAGCACTATTTTAATCACAAAAAACAATATTATTTGATAGTAGTCCAGTCATGCACTGATAGCTAGCTAGTTGACTTACATAAGGATCTATACTGTTAACCGTTTACAGTAAATAAATAAAGTGTGACTTGGATTTAGGAACATATATTTGGCTTATTTGGTTTATCAATCCTAAAAATAGATATTTATTTTGTATTGTTTGACACCACCATCACATGCCCAATAATGCTGGATCACTCTCATTTCCCCTCAGACCAAAGGGGGGGAAACCTCCAGTGACCTTTCATCCTGGCCTGCTGAAGCTACCTATCAAATTGTCCAAAAGCCTAAAGAAAAAATACTTCATGGGTATAGTACAACACATAGCCTCTCAGTGTTCATTTTTAGTAATGTAGTAGTTGTAAAACTTTATAGAATAGTTTTAAATAAAGAAGTTTTATACGATAGTTTTGAAACTTAGTCATCTTATTGGTCTTTTCCATGTCTATTCTGAATACCAATGTCTTGTTCCTAATGTCTACATATATAATGTGCAGCAGATCTCTTGCCAAGCCTCGTTTCTTAGAGCAACTGGAGTGTCATCTCAAGAGAGAATTAGAAGCTTTAGACACACACAGCCCCAAAGTCCAGGAGCTCCGACTGCAGGTTTATATCCCACTTTGCATTAGTCTCTTGTGCTTTAGCACACAGTATGGTTTAAAAGTTTGGGGTTGGTAAGATTTTGATGTTTTTGAGAAGAAAAAAAAACTTATTCTAACCAAAGCTCCATTTGTTTGACAAAATCAGTAATATTGTGAAATATTGTAAAAAAAAAAAAAATACTAACTTTTCTATTTTAATATAAAATTCATGATGGCAAAGCTGAATTTTCAGCATCATTACTCCAGTCTTCAGTGTCACATGATCCTTCAGAAATCATTCTAATATGCTTATTATTGGCTTATTATTATCAATGTTGAAAACAGCTGTGCTGCTTAATTTTTGTGTGGAAATCGTGATAATTCTTTTCTTTAGGAGTCTTTGATGAATAGCTTAATCTCACAAAAAAAAAACAGCATTTATTTGAAGTAGAATTTAAGTCTTAACCATCACCTCTGTTTAATGCATATATTTTCTGAATATATATATATATATATATATACATTCATACATATGTATGTGTGTATGTTTATGTAGTATAGTATATAAGAAACTGTTTTTTTTCTTCTTCTGCTTTTCCCCCTGCATTATGAAGGTTTATCAGGAGGTCTTTGGCTATTTAATTGAAGAATTTAAAACCTATAAGCCTATTTTTTCTGCTATCAAAAATGAGTATGACATCACATTAGGTATGTACAATCTTTTTATTATTTGTGGGAGGAAATCTTTGTGCAAAGGGTTAACACTATTTATAGTATTGTATTAAACAAAAAGACGTAGTTACACAAAATGTGTAAAAGTGATCCTGAAAAAAAAAGGTAAAATAGAGGGAATCTAATTCATAAGATAAAGTAAATAAATACGGTAACATGAAATGAAATGCTAATGGGACTGAATGGGATTGATGAGGAAGAAATTAGTTGAGATGAACTTGTTAATGTCTCTCACAGCGCATCTTCGTGAACAGATTAGGGATCTGCTACCACTGCGGGCAAAGCTAGTGCTTGCGTCGGAACAGTGTGAGAAGAGGATTCTGGATCTGAAAGTGCAGAAAAGAGATGAGATCCGAAATCTGAAGCAAGACTGTCAGGAACTGCAGGACGTCGTTAAGAGTATGAGAAGACAACAGAGTGCTCTGCAGATTCAGGTGGAGCTGGAATGTTTAATTTATTATTTCTGGCCTTTTGTGGAAATCAACATTGGATTATTCAGACAAGCTTTGTAGCTCGCTCCGAATCTTTGTATTCTGCATGGTTAAATATAACTACATATCGGTTAATAACTAGCATGAACTTTCAATAGGCTACAAGAGAGGAAAGCTTATTTTATTTTTATTAATTATATCATCCCATGGTCTATTAGCAAACTAATCATATTATGTTGTGGTTTCTCTTAGCATATCTTATTAACATTTGAACACAGTTTGAAATGAATTGAAATCTATTGGATGTTTACAGCAGATGCTTGTCAGGGCCAAACGGTGGGTCAGTGATTTACATTTCAAGTGGTGCAGGTCATTCATATACAAATTTGGGAGAGGAGGAAAAAAAAAAAACGAGCCAGTATTATTTTTTATAATTTGAATTAGGTTAAAATTTGAGCAATTTTGTTATGTGCTTTGAAATTTATATTTAGTTTTATTCTTTTTTTATATTTTATATTTAGCTTTTAACTTTAAGTAATTTTAACTTAAGTTAGTTTAAGGTTTTTAAGAGTAAATTACCAAAAACAAATTTTAGTTTTAGTTAACAATAACAACACTGCTGCTTCCATAAAGCAAATTGTTGAGATGATGAAACAAACTCATGTGGATCTTATCTCTTACACAGGTTGATCATCTAAAAGAGGACCTGGCCTCCCAGTATCAGCTATACAGGGATGAACGTGATGCACGAAAGCTGCTCATCACCACAATCAGCACAATGCGCTATACTCAAGATACTGAACGTGATGATAATAATGAAGGTTATAATGAAGGTCACACTAGTGATGGTGATGATGATGACGATGATGATGATCAGTAGTACAGTCTGAAAAAATAAATAAACATGGAAACAAAACAATTACTGCTAGAATTGAGTGTATGAATTTAAGAGAATAAGGAGCCAGTGGAGGAAGCATAGCAGAGTTGTGATGTCAGATTAATGTAAGATGTTGACTGTTAGCTGGGCTGGAGATTTCTGCAGAGGTTTGATTGCCAGGAGTGAGTTGCAGTAGTCATGATGAGAGCAGAATAGAGCTTGTACCAGTCTACCAGATCCAGAGTAGCTTCTATGGTAAGAAAATGTCTGACTCGAGAGTGTGTTTTATTGGAATATCTTGTTTTTGGAAGGAGTGGATAGAGATTGAGGGTTTGAGTTGTAAGAAGGAGGTTTGACTCTGCTTGTTCCTCTCAGAGGTGGAATCTGAGGATCCTATGGTGGTGAAAATGGCTTTGCAGGTGTGTAGAGAGGATCTTACCAAAGCTCAGGTTGAGCTCAACCGCCTGGAAGCAGAATACAGTGATGTGGTCCCTCGACGGGACTGGGACAACCTGAATCGTATGCATGAGGTGACTCTAATAAAGGTATGGAGAATTATTTACATTTTTTTATAAAATATTTTTGTTTCAAATAAATGCTGTTTCTTTAACTTTCTATTCATCAAATAATCCTGAAAAGATGTATCACAATTTTAACAAAATTTTTAATGAATAAGAAATGTTTTTTGAGCAGCAAATTAGAATCATTTCTGAAGGATCATGTGACACTGAAAATTCAGCTTTGGCATTAAAGTAATAAATTACATTTAAAAATATATTAAAATAGAAAACAGTTGTTTTAAATTGTAATAATATTTTTACCGTATTACTGTTTTTATTGTATTTTGATCAAATAAATGCATCTTTCGTGAGCAACCCCAAACTTGTTACATCCAAACGAATGACTCTTAAACATCAATTCTAGAGGTAGAGTGATAATAATCATTTGACAATAATATTTAATATGATTTTCCTTGTTTCAGCTGGAAACCTTACAAACAGACTTTGACCAGATGAAGTCTGAATATGACACACTGCTTAAGGTTCATCGCCAGGTAGTTACACAGCGAAACAGTCTTCAGAATGAGCTGGAAGGATTCAAAGAGGTATATAATGATGAATAAATAATCATAAACTTATCTGATTAGTACTTAACATTCTTCTAATCTACAGTCAGCACCTGCTGTGTTACACTCTAATCAGTCAGTGCAGCAACATGGCTCTGATAACAAACACATTGTAACAACTCCCAGACCAAACTGGGAACAATGTTCAGGTATCAGTCTCTGAATTTTCCATAAGGATTTCACCAAGTTTCTCTTCTTTATATAGCATATATGTTGAGCATATGTTTTAGATATTGATTATGTAATGTATTTTATAGACATACTCGGAGGAATTGAACGATGTAAAGAGCTTTTTGAAGGTCAGTCCAGCCAAAAGAAGCTGGAGCTCTTGCTGCAGGAGATGAATGGACAGAATGAGTTCTTTACTGGACTTGTAAGTGTTCCTAACATATATATATTTGTAGCATTAATGCTAAGCGTAAATACTCTGATTTACAATATGCTTGTTGTGGCTAACTTTGGACCCAACTGGATATTTAAATTGTTTTGACAGGGCACATCCAGTGACGTCCCCATTTATCTACAATATGAGGGGACAATTAAGAATCTTAAGCTCAAGAAAACAGATGTTATCAGAGTTATAAAAGATATTTGGAGGAACAAAACTACAGAGAATGAAAAGGTATGGCATACTAATATCCTGTCTTGATTTGTTTAAACATTCAATAGTTGAGTATTTATAACTGTATTTCTCCACACATTTTTCCTCAATGAAGATTGATTACTCCAGAGATCTGCAGGTGTTTCTTCACAGCTATCTTGTGGAACAGTATAAGGATAAGTCCGGAGAGTGGGCTTACAGCTTGATGGAAAGCATCCAAAACAATCTTAAAGATGATTTCATCTGCCTTTTCAATGACATCTTGACTGGGAAGGTTTGTGCTTAATCTAAGTTACAACCATTTGCCATAATGAAAAAGTCAATTGAAAGCTGTTTTTTTCAGCTGCTGTATTTAATAAGGGCCTCCAAAACTATCCAAATTTTTATTGGGATAATTATATACTAACTGATATTTGCTATATAATAATTAAGTGTCATTTTGTGGCAGGTTGATGAGAGTATCTACCATGGACAGACACAGCTGCTGTCTCACTTGCTCAAGGTTTTTATTCAAAGTGACATAACACAGTGCGGATCACGAACTGTCTTAGAATTTAGGTGAGTGACAACTTATGTCTTCAGTAGAAATATATAAGATTGTCATGTGATTATTATAATATGTGTGCTAATTATCAGTGAGGCATTGAAGCAGGCTTTCCCCCTGAAGTCAGATCAGGACATAGAGGAGCTGATGATGACGGCTCAGACAGAGCTAAAGAGTAATGGAGTGCGCATTTCTTATCAGACACTTTATACAGAGGTCAGTTCGGATTTTCTTTGGCTAAGAACAATAAAATATGTACACTACCACCATTCAAAACTTTGAGGTTGGTAAGCCCTCTTATGCACACCAAGGTTGCATTTATATGTTCAAAAATGTTCAGCTCAAGTCACTTTTGATAAATTGAATACAGTCGCTAAATAAATGTATTATATCTTTTCATAAAAAAAAACGTACTGTGCCCAAACTTTTGAATGGTTCTGTATATATTAATATGTTAGAACAACATCATGTTTTGTGTGCATGTTGTTTCCACTCCAGGACACAGATGGAAGACACAAAGAATTCCTGAGTCTAGTTAAAAAACAAGCTATCGCTGAGAGACTCCAGTACATCAGCGAGTTGAGAGTCCAACTTGAAGGCAAAGGGTGAGAAATCACCCATCCTGTTTACAAAATTAAATGCATTATTAGATGTATCGGAGTAAAGTCACATCAAATGAATCCTGTATTGTCATTGTTGTGTCCTGTTTTGTATGTCATCCATGTAGGGAAGTGGACGCAGAGCATCTCGGGACTGCCTTCAAAACTATCGATCCTTCACTGGATTCTGAAACTCTGGACTGGTATTTCAGTGTAGCTTTTAAGACCAAGGAGTGTGAATTACAAGCTGAAGCTTTGAACACGGAGGTTGTGCTACAGCGTCTCTCTGTGGCTGATGTAAAAAGGGCAGGGCCAGAGCGATGACCATAGTTATGTCAAACACATTTCCAATTTTTCTTTTTATAGCACACTACATATATAAACCAAGTACAGCACCAGGGCATAGAAATACCTCTGTGCTAATAGTTTGCATATTTGCATATTGTTATGTAATTAGAAAATTACATAATCAGGAATGACACAATATTAAATAATTAGATAAAAAAATATATCAGTATTATGTTTCTGGCGTCTTTTTTGCTTTCTATTAAAAAGAAAAGAAACGTCATGCTTGTTATATTGACATTTTACCTCGAAAATCAAGAAAGCTGTATTTCTTTGTATTGTCTGCATGCAGATTACTTGATTGAATTATTTGTCAATAAATGGTACATTTATATTTATTTGTTTGTCAAATGTATTCTGATGATTGTTAACACTTTAATGTAATTTACTATTAACAAGAGCTCAACTTTTCAACCCATGGTAAATGCAAAGCACTGCGTTTGTGAGACCTATTTATCAGTTAATCTAATCGAAAACTAAACAGAACTTTTCTGCCACATGTAGTTTTATTTTACATAGAATTTAGAAAGTTTTTAAATGGCAGAGAAGTTGTACAAATATGGTTTCTACGGGACAATACTTGTGTGAGTATTTTAAGTATACTATTCTTGGATTCACCTGCTGCTCGAAGCTCTAGTTCTAGATTTGGAAAGCAATACATCAAGAATCGGTTGACTGACTGTCAAGAACCAAAATTCAAAGCAGTGTGTAAGTGCTTTGCGCATGCTCAAACTGAAGAGGCCGCTCAACTTCTGTTCACGGCGCGCTGGAATCGCCATAACTGGAACCGGGGGATTCGGTTTAGGGCTCACTGAGGTAAGATGTTGGCCACATATTACTTATAACAGTTAACGTTGTGTTTACACTGCACATAACTACTTTATTTATATACTTTATGCAAAGTGGAACTGGTGCTTTTTTTCCAAGAATAATCTGAAGCGCTAGCTAATAGGACACGCCTATAGGACTGGAGCGTGTACGGGCCGCGCGAGGGTCTCGCGCCCGCATGCAGCTCATATGGCTCTGAGGTATTTTTAGAACGGAACGAGAGCGCGTTCGCTCCAAGTTGACCGTCGCTATTCAAACTCCGAGTCGATATTTAAAAAGTAACGTTCACTTCAACGTAAAGCACAACTTTTTCCTCCTCACAGTTTAGCCGGCGACAGTTAGCACGTCGGCTAAAGCTACAATGAATCAGTCTACACCGAGGCCAATGAAAGCTAGCTAATACTCTTAGCATGTTGACTTTTAATGGTTAGTTAGTAACAATCTCGATCAAATAGTGGTTGCTGTTGGAAGGAATGATTCTAACCACAATTCGGAAGTCATTATATCTACAGTGACTGATTTGAATTTGAGTTAATTAGTTTGTAACCAACCTAACAGTTACCAAGTTAAAAATCTTTAAAATCCTCTTTAGAATGGCAAGCCGAATCTTTTTATTTATTTATAGATCAGTCATTAATTAAAGTGTCATTTTAATCGACTTCTCTAGCTTGACAGTAATCGTTCCAGCATGTTGGGTGTAAGTTAGTTATTGTCACCCATACATTTGTAATTTTAGATAAATTGTCATTAACAGCTCTAACTAACTAAATGCGTGTTGTGTAGCCCAGAACTATAAAAGGAACGATTGTACGTGTTTGATGTCTGGGCACACTATAGATTTTGGAGGAAATTCATCTGTCTAAGTTTGAAAGACTGCAGTGAATCATGGCCCAAGCAAGCACATGATACATTAACCAGCCAAAGTTGCTGACAAATCTGTGTGTGAGTGTCTAACAGGGTGGAGCAGGAGTGTGTCAGATTCCATGAGTTTCTAAGTAGAAAGAAGTTTATAAAGGCCCGTTCACATCAAGGAGGATAACTATAAAGTTTTAACAATTGTTATAATTTATGAGAATTGGTAAGTCCACACCACAAGTTACAACTATAATGATAACTCTACAGAGGAACGATATCAAAATGATTTTTCCTGGCTGATGGGATAAAAAGATCGGCAGCCAATCAGAATCCACCCTACATTAAATAGATCGAGCAATTAAAAAAGCAGATTAGAAACTACATGAATGCAACACGCACTTATAATAAACAGGGCTGTGTTTCCCAAAAGCATCGTAAGCCTAAGGGTATTTTTACGTGACAACAATGACAAAGTTGTCAAAACGATCCCATTCACACGGATCTGCGGAAATTACTACAAAGGCTGTATTATGCATGCCAGGTCAGTAGTTGGCGATGTCACTTGTCAAAACACCCCGTTAACATGTAATACGCATGCACATTACGTCACCGTTTTCACAAATTCACATTTTGGTTGTTTACATGGAGAAGATAAAAGACATTGTTTTCAAATGCTTTGCGTTTTCAGGCCCAAAAAACACAGTTGACATGTAGATGAACGACTAAAACCCATAAAAAGTTTTCCGTTTTCAGTTGAAAATGGTGTCGTGTAAAAACCCTTTGTTGATCATAGAGACCATTGGTCGCAATCGTTGTACGATCAACTTAGGCCTACAATGCTTTTGGGAAGCGCAGCCTAGATTGATTCTGATTGGCTGTTAGGGCTGTCACTTTTGTGAAAAATTCCTGTTCGATTTTTGAGACAAGTGTTCATTGAATCGATTGTAAAATCGATTTTCCATGTCTAAAGTCCATTTTCAACTCCAAATATAGGCAAATCCACGGACAACTAACAGGTATTAGGACGAACAAGAGGGCACTTGAGACACGCACAAGTCAGCAATATTTCTGATGATTTATTGGCGTGAAGTTTTGTGCACATTGACAAACAGGAGTGCAACATTCAGGGATTGAAATTAACACCCTCCAACCCGCCAAATGCGGGTAAAAATTCACTTTGGCGAGTAACGCTGTCAAATCACTAGCCAATTTGGTGTGTTCCTATGTTTACTCACTTTGCTGGGGAAGTTCGTGTAAGCCAAATCTGTGCGGATTTAGTGCAAATACGCAACTCGTGAGTCCTCATGATATGTTAAATACAGCGTATCGCGCTGAATCTGTGCGTTTCTGGCTTACTTGAACACACACGTCACTAAGCAACAAATAAAGGCGCGCTTGTTCACTTGCATTGAAGTAATAGCGAATATTAAAAAGCATTTGGTTAACAGAAAAAACAACCAACTTGTGTTGGTTGGTCCGATCGATTGTGTAATTGATTTTCGAACGTAAAGTGACAGTCCTATTGTTTGTAAATGTTTTTTTTAGCATTAATCAGCTGGACAAAATCGTTCTGAAAGTGATTCCAATGACATCGTTCATCTTTGTGGTTATAGTTGTTGTGTGGACTTAGCTATTCTCATACATAGACTAAAAAGAAAAAAAGATGGACAACGTGTCTCCACTTCCTTCCACTGTAGAAAAATGAAGCCAAAATATACCAGAAATGACCATTGGTGATTGTCATTTGGAGCCAGTAGTTATCCTGAGGTGGAGGTGGAGCCGCTGTATAAAGGTCCCGCCCATATCCTGCTACTGTAGACTCAATAGGTGTGTTCGACTTGAAGCGTTGATGCGCAGGCTGTTCAGTGTGTGACATTAAAGTACAGCGAGAGCGATTAGAAACTCGAAAGCATACGGAGCCGTCTGCTCTCTAATCGTTCCCGCGCTACTTTGATGACATACACCGATAGGTCTGCGCAGCGCCGTTTCAACTCGAACACACCTATTCTCAAGCACAGCTGTCAATCATGATGTTATACACATGTAGTGGCAAGATTCAATCTTTGTCTCTGAAGAAACTTCTCGATTCAGGGGTTTCAGCCAGGTGATCATCTAACAGCCTCAGTCAAGACTCTTATTAATACTGTTTCTTACACCTTGCCCTCCAACTTTTCTCAACCAATGAGCGTTCATTAGGTCTTTTTTTATTTTTATTATTGTTCACCCATGCTTTTTTTGTACTCCCCAATCAATCATCTCTTTTCTTGGCTCCATTCCTAATAGTGGAGAGCCGTCACCTAGTTTATCATCAAAGTAACATAAAAAACCCGTTTTTACAGTGTGATTTGCATCAATGCGCTCGATATACGGGTCTTCATATTAAAACATCTGATGTTCCACAGTGGTTGGTACAGCTGGCTGGGTGTTTTGCACAGAGCTGCTAAAGTGAAACATAGTGCACTCTGTGACCTGGGGCCTTCTCGGAGGCACTCTCTCTATGAACATAGAAATTCGTAATGAAAAAACTTTTCAAGAAATACACTAAATACCCTGTTTTCATAGCATCGAATATCAGTGTGATAAGAACTAACTAAAATGAATTTTTTTTTTTAAGTGTAATTTTTTTTAAATTTAGTTTAGTTCGTCCCATTCAGAGGGTGGGGTTCATGACCTACAGGTCCTTCTAAAAAAATTAGCATATTGTGATAAAGTTCATTATTTTCCATAATGTAATGATAAAAATTAAACTTTCATATATTTTAGATTCATTGCACACCAACTGAAATATTTCAGGTCTTTTATTGTTTTAATACTGATGATTTTGGCATACAGCTCATGAAAACCCAAAATTCCTGTCTCAAAAAATTAGCATATCATGAAAAGGGTCTCTAAACGAGCTATTAACCTAATCATCTGAATCAACTAATTAACTCTAAACACCTGCAAAAGATTCCTGAGGCTTTTAAAAACTCCCAGCCTGTTTCATTACTCAAAACCGCAATCATGGGTAAGACTGCCGACCTGACTGCTGTCCAGAAGGCCATCATTGACACCCTCAAGCAAGAGGGTAAGACAGAAAGAAATTTCTGAACAAATAGGCTGTTCCCAGAGTGCTGTATCCAGGCACCTCAGTGGGAAGTCTGTGGGAAGGAAAAAGTGTGGCAAAAAACGCTGCACAACGAGAAGAGGTGACCGGACCCTGAGGAAGATTGTGGAGAAGGACCGATTCCAGACCTTGGGGGACCTGCGGAAGCAGTGGACTGAGTCTGGAGTAGAAACATCCAGAGCCACCGTGCACAGGCGTGTGCAGGAAATGGGCTGCAGGTGCCGCATTCCCCAGGTCAAGCCACTTTTGAACCAGAAACAGCGGCAGAAGCGCCTGACCTGGGCTACAGAGAAGCA